AGGCTCACTATGAGTTAGTATCGACTCAATACCAGTGTGTTTTGTTTGTGTTCCATCTGGTGAGGTGTACAGTTACCATTTATGTTGTTGAAAGACATACTTGGACTGAAGTAGTCATTGGTCTTGCAAAATTCTATCATACTATCTTGAATTTTGTTTCTATCACCAAGGATCTCTTTCCCAACTTCCAAGGCTTCCTCTTTATATCTTTAGCATTCCAGTAACTAATAATCATCGATGCATCTTGATTTCACGTTTGATCAATTTCAGGCTGTAGAAATTCTCCAATTTCAGTTTATTCATCATTGCCTTTCGTGGTAAATTTGAAAACTGTTGTATTATCTGGACTCCCTTGTAAGTATGTAGATACACTATCTCAGACATCATACTTTAAATCCTCAAATGTTCTTTTTCATTGTGATGCCATTCCTTTTGAATTCATCGTCTCCACCATAGCAAACCATTTGATTGTTTAATTCAAAGCGGCCAATATTAATTCATTTCAGTTCACTAATGCCAATATTGATTTTTTTTCTGTTCCATTTCATTTTTGACTATTCACAATTGTCCTAGCTCCATTGACTGTGTTCCACTTATTAATGGGTGTTTGCAGCTGATCCTTATTTCGAGTCATGCCCCGCCAGCATGGAAAGGTCCCGACAGCTTTGATCCGTGCACACCGTGTCAGGGGTCGCACTTGACCACTAAGTGCTGCCAGTCCCGGGGCTCATCTTCCAACAGGACACCAGGCAAGATGCTGCTGCTAGTACGTTTCCAGTGGCCAATCCCTCAAGAACGGACGGCCTGCTCCTTATTCCTAGGCCATCCTTCATCTGGAAGTTCCGCTGACATCTGCTCTCTGTGGGTGACCCTACTGGCATTTGAAATACTGGTGGCATCCCTTCTGGCATCACAGTAACCAGAAAGCCACTGCAGCATGACAAAGGGGCAAGCAAGTGGGGACGATCCTGTTTAGGGTGGGGGGGAAAATAGAACAAAACTCAAATCTGAAAACAATAGAGTGGCCCGTGAGAGACTAGATGAACCTGTAAGACTGTAGCCTTGTGACAACTTTCTAACTTCACCCTGAAGATCCTCCGAGAGGGTGCCTTTCAGCTAATTAATAGATGGGCCTATGAAATAAAAATGTGCTCCATAGAACACTCAACTCTACAAAGCCCAAAGGGCAACATTTGCCAAAAAACAAGGAGGGGGGGGTGGGCCGCGGGGAGGCAAATAAACCTGATGAAAGGAAATGACCCAGCAAAGAGAGAGTGCCAACACATTTTGGGGATTGTAGGGCATGTCACAGAGCAATTTGTATATGGCCTACTGATTAGAAAACAAATTTCCTATGTAAACTTTCACCTAAGGTACGTAAAAAAAAAAGATTTTAACTAATTATCTATTTTCCAAGCACTGTCAGGATCTAGTGAGAACTAAATTAGTCTTTGAATTTTTGATAGTAGTATTTTGATTGACCTTATATGCTTGTATTTGATCTGCACATATGTAGATGTGTATAACACTAATGTATACACAACAAAATTAACTCCATTTCCTCTAGAAGACAGATTGACAGGCCACAAGTAGTCCATTTTGCCCATTGTCCATTATATTGTCTTTTACCTAGCACATACATGTGTTTTAAGCCAAGATTATTAGCTTTATAAGAATTCACATCTCAGTATATTCAAAATTATATGAACTACATTGTTTGAGCTATTGCAATATTTTGACAGGCAAAAGAGCCTAGGGTCCCCAGACTGTGATTGACTCCTATGTCTACCACCTTTTGACTTAGGAGAACTGGTGGCACAGTGGTTATGTGTTGGGCTAACTGCAAGGTCAGCAGTTCCAAACCATCAGCCAGTCCTCAGGAGAAAGACAGGGCTTTCTACCTTGTTAGTCTCAGCAACTCACCAGGGCAGTCTATTCTGTCCTGTAGAATCAAGTCCACATTGGCTTGATGGATGTGTGTTTGGTTTTTCTGATTGAACAAATAATTTAATTTCTCTTTGCCTCAGTTCCCTCCGCAGCAAATTCTGGTAATAATACCTACCTCACAGATTGTAAGGATAAAACAAAACAACCACCAGATCAGTACCAGCCAATTGATAATCCCTTTATCATTGTTAGCAGTTATTCTACTAAAGAAAACCATTAGCCTATTCATTCATTTCTTGGCACCCAGTGTTCTCCGAGTTTGCAAATATATTTTGAATTCGATTATATCAAATAACCAACAGAAGATTCACCAGATGGTTATTTTTTGATTGACTTTTGGAAACGGAAACCTTAGTTTCAAGCCACCTTACTATTCTGTCAGCATCTCATTAAAAAAAATTTTTTTTTAATGTTCCAGGCATCAGGAAGACAAACGAGACATAATCTTTGGTCTTCAAGAAAATTAAAGTACAACGGTATGTTGAGAAAATGTGTCCAGACCCACTCGAGCAGAGGCTGTAGAAGCGCGCTGCGAGTGGCTAACAATTGAGCTATTGTGAGACAGACCAAGGCCTTCTAAGTGCAGGGAGCAACATAGAAAGAGCGAACACAACACAAGGTGGAAACCGCAGTAATTCACGGTGACTGTATAGCTTTGTCACTATCAACACATGGAAGAAGCAGGCAAGAAATCCAAAGGGCATACTGCATTAGGGCAAATCTGCTATGGAAGATCTCTTGAAAGTATTGAAAAGAAGTCACTTTGAGGTCTAAGGTGAACGTGACTGAAGTTATAGTAAAGTTCAGTCACCTTATACACATGCCAAAGCTGAACAATAGACAAAAGACCAAAACGAGTCGGTGATGTTGAATTATAGTGTTGGGAAATATTAAATGTATCATGGACAGCCAGAAGAACCAACAAATCCGTCTTAGCAGTACAGCCAGAATGCACCGTCCTCACACTTCGCACTTGCAGTCAGGAGGAGCTGAAGGAAAGCGGGTTTGGTAGCGGGAGGGTCAGCAAAACAGATGGCAGCTCTCCCTGAGATGGACTGAAAGACAGCAACAGGGCCAGGCAGCGTTAACGGAGTCAGAGCCCACTCAGAGGCACCTAACATAAGGTGACCAGACGTCCGATTTTTAACAACTTTTCCCGCGTCCTGTGGCGTTTTTAAAAAGTCCCGATTTTTGGAAAGAAGGCACGACAAGCTAGGGTATACGGTTTTCGGCTGGCTATTTCACCAGGGTATGAGTTTTACCAATGGTGTCCCACTTTACCAATGTTAAAATCGGGTCACCTTAACCTAACAACAAGCTCTGTGGCTGAGGACTGAAGAGCTACAAGGGTCTTGAGCAACCTCCTAAGCCGCGCATCAGTTATCACTACGGCGATAGCTTTGGCAAGGTTATAGTTAATTGGGGGGGGGGATGTGATTTTAGCATGATTTGAGTCATGGAAAGCAGTTAAGAGGCTGCTACCACAACCCAGGCAAGAAATGAATGAGTGAGGACTATCTGTCAAGTAGCAGTGGAATCATGAGAAGCAAAAATACTGGGGAGATGCAGCACATAGGCCTTGATCCCCAGCTGGCTGGCAGGGGAGTGGAGGAAGGAAGGTCTCATGAAGGACTTGCTCGGGTGCCAGGCTCAATGACAGCGCAACAAAGGATGCTTCCCAAAATCACCGGTACCTTTGCTTTGTGCATCCAAAAGAAAACGGCCAAGTAAGAGCTCAGTAAAAGCTGAATTGCAAAGATACCAAACGCAGCAGCGTAGAGAATAAAGGAAGTCAAGGAAGTAGGTATGAAACCATACTGAGTTTGCTTTTATTCTTTTTTTAATATCCAAGCTCTTCTATTCCACCCCTCACTAGAACACATCATCTAATACGGCTCTGAGCATTAAAAGGAAATCATAGTGAAGATTTCAACGTTGTAGCTAATTGCAAAGTTTGTTGCAGATGGTTAATGTTCAAAGGTAGAAACCTGTTTTCTAAGTGACTTGGGTGAAAACATGAACATGAGTCCCCAGTGCAGCATTTCCCATCATAGATTACAGAATTGCCGACGGCAGGCCTTTCCTTTGGCTCCTGGGGGCTTAATTTCCCTAGGGAACTATTGTGGTTATTCAACTTTAAGACCTTGTAGAAAGAATCACATTTATTTCTCTCTGGGGTCTTACTGAGAGTAAGCAGAGAAGTAAATAGTCACTAAAGAGGGACAAGGGGAAATAAGCATGCTTTCATCCAAATCTATGAATAACTCGGGTTTAAAAACTTTTTTTTTAAAGCTGGCCAAATATTTACAAAATTATAAGCACAGTAGCACAACCTTGTTGTAGTGTCCCTTCATCGTAACCTACGTGGAGCAAGCCCCACCAGTTTTGCTGGTCTCAGCACAAAGAAGCATTTCATTATATGCTGATTCCTGTATATTGTGGTTTCATAAAGACTGTTTCAAGTCATTCTGCCCACATTTGAGGCTGTGATCTTCAACAAATCCTTTTTTTGTAAAACACAGTGAAAAAAAAATACAGATAGTATCTGTTCTTGACTCTACTGTTCTAGTATTCTGTGATCAGATGAAAGCATTTAGTAGAATTGCTCTTTGGGGGGAAAAATTTAAGTTCCTTATAAACACAGCCTTCCTACAATTGAAAAATAACATGTTTTATATCAGAAGGCTTGTCGGATAAAATTCAGTTGCAAAACTCAGTGTTGCTCCTGAAATGAATAGGCTATTGTTTATTAAATGCCTCATACTCGATGCCCTTCAATTATCACAATAAACTGTAAGATTTTTGTCCTCTTTTTACAGATAGGAAACTTAGGCATACAAAGGCTAAGTAACCTGGCCAAGGTCACACAACTGGTAAATTATAGCTCAGCATTTCAACTTGGCATCAAGCACCAAAATTGTGTTCTGGAAAGAGTTTCAGGTGTGAGAGATCAAAATTGTTGGCACGTTTCCTAGTCTCATCATCAGAGTGAGTCAAAGTTTCATCCATCTTTAAATATTTTACAAAAGCAAGTTTCAAGAGACACTTTGAAATGTATTGCAAAATGTACAGCATTTATTCACATACAGACAAAAAGGCACAAATTCTACTAAATAGTTCAACAAAAAAATACCGCTGTCCTCAACTAGTTTTATAAATACTTTCAAAAAGAGGATAGAAATAAATACAGGATTGGGCCATGTAATATAAAATAGTCATCTCTACATATACTTTGTTTAATTTTTGATTTTTAACTCTTCATGCACCTTTTTTTTTCAATTTTAGCTGAATGGACACCAAGCTAGGCACATAGTGAAAAATCCTCTGTACAAGGTTACAAATGTAATGACAAGTTTGTCCATTTCAAAATAATTAAAATTTGTACACAACACATATAACCCTTCATTTAAATTGTGTGTTTATAACCTAACAAATGACATTCCAGGCAACTTTACAAAAGTTTAACTAGCCTACATTTTGACATAATACATTGATCATCATCAAAGTTATTTCTTGGTCAGGATGCACAAGGAAAGATAAAGTTAAAGGGAGTGGGGGGAAGGGGGAAAAAAACAAAGCAAATGGTTGCATACTAACAGCACGCCGGTGGGTAGGCTGAGCTGGTTGCTGCTGGTGGCCAACCTCACAGAGTCCCCAACGTGGCATGAGACTGCCTCACAAAGCTATCATTAGCCTGTCAGAGAAACCGTGCTCTACACCATTTGCATTTCAAGCAGGAATAAAGTGTGGGCTTTTTAGTGTGTGTTTGTGCGCGCGTGTATGTGTTGTTTCTGTATGGGTTTTTATTATTGTTTGTTTTTTTGTGGTTTTGGGGGTTTTTTTTGGTTCAGCATAACTTGGAACGTTTGAAAGCTTTTCAACCTAAATGTGGGGGAAAAACAGGTAAGGCATTTATTTTATTTTATTTTTTTGCACAAAACTAGCATTCCTAATAGTGCAAATGAACTGAGACCTCTTAAAATGGTGAGAGGTCATATATTTACTAGAATTAATTTAGACTTTCTTTCTATGGCTTGACAAATTCTCCTCTATAAATCCTCCTCACCCAGAGCTGTTGCTGTAGTCAAAAGATAACTGTAGATAAGAACCCACTTTCTCCTGAATCCAGCCAGAGTTTTGCTCATATGCAAAGAGCAAAGTCTGAGTTTTAAATCAGGCTGTGAGTGAATGCACAACCTGGACTGATAAGAACCTTCTAATCTCGGCAGCAACAAGCTTATCTGGACAGCAGTCTTCCAAAATGAGCCCCGTCTCTCAAAAATAGTCCATCTAAAGACCCGGGTCATTCTTTCCCCTCCCCTGAATTAGCTACTAAAACGTACTCCAAAAGTGAAGACTTGCGCTGAAAATGCCATACATACAATGGGGACGCGTCAGATCTACTATTTGATCATCTGATAAAACTTGCATAGCAAGATGGAATTCAATACACCTTTTTTTGTTGTTAACAATCATCTGGAAGACTTGAAAGTTAACTACAGAACTCAAGCATTATTATTAAGTATCAGAATGTCCCTGCCATATGAAAACAGATGTATAACTGAATCGGGATCTGAATACCGATATTAACAAACTAAGGGGTAGTTTAGGGGAAGTTGGGCTTGTTCCAAGTGCCCATAACTCTAAATCTCATTGTTATAGAGCTTTCTTAAATTTGATCCACAACTACATTGAATGCCAAAGAAAATTAACAGGACCTTAACACCATCCACTGTCTTAATACATATGCACTACAATGAGTGCAAAAACATAACATTATACTCAAATTTAATGCTGAATTTATTATTGCTGATCACTTACTAGTTATTGCCATTTACAACGAGAAAGTCTCAGTTATGAATAAGCACTTAGATCTCTGTCACCAGAAAATTTATTCCAAGGTAGGCTTCAATCTCTCTCCTGCATAATCTGGTCAATGATTAGAGCTTATCGCAACTTATTGCCTTTCTATTGTTTTTCAAATACAACCTACTTTTTTTTCCCCGACTTTATTTTGTTTTCTTTCCTTAAAAAGACTCCATTCATGTCGGAAGCCCAGATTCCCCTACACATGCACTAGTGGTTGGCTCTGGGAAATCTGAGTCACCAGACTCGGGAATTTCATCACTTGATCTTGAATAGCCATTGTGTTGTTGGAAGCCAGTTGGCTGGGTATTTCCAATGGCCAGAGAAATTCCAAGTTGGCCCAAGGGGCAGTGGATAAAGAGGAGGAAAGTCGAGAAGCCTGGTAAAGATTGAGCCTCAGCTTTCCGCTCCCTCCTAGACAGAGCTGCTTGTGGCTTCCCTCCTCTCCAGTCCTCTACCCGCACCCACTCGAGGGACCGTGCGTTACAGGTACTCTCGTTCTCCTCACTGCACCAGCTCTATCCTGGCCCCTTCTGCTCTTCCCGTCAGGGCTATTTCTTTTGTTGCCCTTCCCCATCTGCTATATTTACACAAGAAATTTCCAAGAGTTACTGAAGCTTCAGAGCTGCTGCCTGTGCACTGTAACGTAACAAAACCAGCCTCCTGGGGGCAAAGTATACATATGATCTCAGGCTTGACCACAGTCAGTCCTAGAATATAAGTTGTATGGGCTATTGAATGATGCCATGAGGGTTTCTCAACAACCATGTTCGAAACCATACACATTCAGGTTAACTAATAGTTTGTGCTTTGGGAAGACTCCAGAGGGCAATAAAAACTCGCTGGGCTTAGAAGCCTTGCCCTCTTTAGAACGTATGTCATTCATTCATTCTCATTTTAGTGTTGAGTTCAGGTTCCAGTCCAAGCAGGGTCTTACAGTTACAATCTACTCTCCTGTTTCCTAACTGGTTGCTAATAACACAAATATCGCATAATGGTGTATAAATGATGGGGGGGTGGGAACCGGTCTGAATTGCAAGTAAATGTGTTTGTGTCGCTCAGGAGTAGCGGGTGGATTTCTGCGTGCCCATGGCATCAGCGGCCTCCTCTCGCAAACCCGACAACAAGCCCCAGTGCTTGCGCTGCACCATCACGATGCCAAGATGCTCCTCCTGATGATGTCTGTCCTGGTGCTCATAGTGCTGCGGGCATGCATACATTTCTTTTCGGACGCCTCACTCTCCGAGTCACTCATTTCTGCATCAGGGACATACCCGTCGTTCTCACGGTCGGGCTTTAATTTGCTTTTTGCCCTTTCCTTGGCTGGAACTCGCCCTAAGCCCAAGTATGGGTAGTCTGAGTGCTGGTGGCAGGCGCCCTCGTGGGCGTCCCCCTGCTGCTGCCGCTCCCCCTTCTTTGGAATCCGGAATCCGCCCCAGTTCTTCCCTGGGCTGGCAGGCGTTGTAGGCACTTTGACTGCAGTATGGTTATAGTTTACTTTGATTAAGGAGCCGTTACACTTGGGCACTACGTCCTTCCTGGCGCTGGGCGCCAACTGCCCCACTCCCGGCGAGGCGGTTCGTGTGTTGTCCGGATGCCTCTGGGACATATCTGTGGACCTGAGAGGCTTGTGGCTCTGTTTAAATGGTCTGTCCTTTAAATCTCCCTTTGCGAGATTACAATGAAATCGACCGTCTCTTCTTTTCCCGTGGTCTGGCATCACCACACCGTTTTTCTGTTGTGCTGCTATGATACGTGCTTCTGCAAAGCTCTTTTCAAAACTCAAAAAGCTCTCGGGGCCCACCACCCCGTCCCGTCTTCCACAGAGGTCTGGCTGCTTGAGCAGAGTTTTGCCTTCGCTCCCAGCGCTATTCTGCAAGGGATCGCGCTTGTGGGACTTTTTCAGCGAGTGAACCAAAGAAGTACCCATTTGTCTCCTGAAGAAGGCAGAATGCCACCTCAAGTCTTCAATCTTGGGAGCATCGGGACCCACAGAAGCACTGTTAAACAGAAGCATGCTTTCCAGTGAGGAAGAGGAGCAGGAGGAAGAAGGCACACCTGTAAGTATAAAAAGACAAAGAAAAATCACGGAAGTATATCCAAAAGAGTAAAATTCCGGATCCTCCACATGGCCCTATTTATATGCAAATTGCCTATCCAACTATACAACCTAATTCGCCTCACCAAGTTTATAATGCCCACCTTCCTTAAGAACCTGCAATTTGCACTCAACACGGGCAGCTGAAGTGTACGTAGTTGTTTCATAAAACACCATGCCCTCGAGCATTACATTTTCCTTCAAACTAAGTGATCTGGTGGTGCTGTGGATAAGACTTGGGCAGCTAACCTCAAGGCCGAGCGTTGCAAACCACCAGCCATGCTGGTGGTTTTTATTTGGAAGAAAAATAAGATTGTCTGCTCCCGTAATGATTTACTGTCTCAGAAAGACTGTCTCGGGTAGCTGAGTCAGACTTGCTGGCAGCGGGTTTGGTCTAGTCAGCAATCGCTGCTTCCTAAACCCCTCTACAGTATCACAGAGCAACAAGGTCTCCGTGGACTACAATTCACCATCTTGCCATCAGCCTCCCAAAGACCAGGAGTTGGGCCTCTCAAGTTTCTTGCTCCAAACAGTTCTCTCCCAGGGTTATAAATACATGTCAATATGTGAATTCATTAAAGCAAAATGTTTAAAATACTTCACATATAGTATCCCCCCCCCAAAAAAAGTTACTATTACACATAACCATAAAATTCTGTTTGTGGACGTCAAACAAATAGTCATTGAACTTGAATACCATAATCAATTGATATTCTTCAAACTTTCTGGATGCAAATCACAGTATGAGATAAATTTCACAGGGTAATCCAGTGAAGGGCTCCCTTCGTGAAGTAATCTTGGCCTTGGCCTTCCAGATAGTTTATAATCTGATTCACGTGTTTCAAATGCTGGTCCTGACCCACGGAATTCATCTCTCGCCCTCTAATGAGTGAGCCCACAGCCTGAAAAGCACTAGGTGAATTCCTGCCACACCGAGCTCATCAGAAAGGGCCTGTGTCTACAAGCGCGTTTCCAAACAGCAGTTTCCATTTCCAGGTTTCTGTCTTCTACAGAGCATGAGCCAGGAAGGCCAGGCTCAGCTCCCGGAGCATGAGACAGGAGCCTTTCATAGGAGACCTTCCAACTGAGCAAACCGGACGTTAGCTAGTGAGCATGTGCCTGTCATGGCCACAGGTGAGGGCTTTTTGCAGTCCGCTGGCTTGGAAACACCTGTTTTCTCAGGGGGTCGAGCCTTAAGGTCAATCATAAGACCAGAACTTAACACGTTTCTCAATCATCTAACACAGGATACCACGGAAGTCAGGAGACTGATGCCTTCTGAAATCGGACTTCTCTCTTCTTGAGATGCAGGCTCTGAAGAGCCCGATTCACGACTGCGGCCTCCTTTGAGAACTCACTCTGCTCAGAATCACACGGCATAGCTTAAATCACAGACCCCTAATGGCACACATACGTCACGGCCACCTGCTCCGCTTTGCTTGGAATCCTGTCTTACAAGGCAGGAGCTTGCCTTCAGGCATGAATAAGAACAAGAAAGGAATTTCTGAAGCTGAGAAAAGGAAAAGGGAGTGGGGTGGGGGCCATCCTAAAGCGCCTGGGCTCCTTGCCTGCAGCAGGCCACAGGAGGATGAATGGAGCTTTCCAGGCGATCATACCAAGTATGGTTCTGACACCGCACCGTGAAGGGAGGATTTGTGTTCTTCTTCAGAGCAGTAGCAGCACTTCTGAATGCAGCGCTGCGCTGTGGCTCTTACACAAACACTCCCGACCTTGTTAGTGATCCCACTCACTCACCCAAGCCAGAGCCTCAGCCAGGAGATGCAACAAGTTACCTGGACTACCCAGGAAGAGCCACTCCGAAGTGAAATCAGATGCAAGTGCTCTTTAGCACCTGTTTTTATACAGATAACCATTCCCTGCATAAGTCCTAGGGGCGCCTCCACAGGAGCAGCTTGCATGACTGAAGCAGGCAGCGGTTCCCCGCTGTGGCCCTTCCAAGTGGTCATTTGCTCAGAGACAAGAGAGTATTCAAGTACGGAAATTGAAGAGATGGATATTGACTTTAAAGCAAAAAATCGGAATGGAACTGTTTTTACAAAGGGCCCCCTACTTAGAAAAATGTATTTAAGAAAAAAGAAAAATGTATTTTTAAAGAAACAGCTGAACGCCAAACTCCTGCTAATGATAATAGCTTGAGAAATCTGGAGAACATTGAATCTTGAGAAAATAGCAGGGTAACATTATGAGTAAGCTGATGCTATTAAAACGAGGGTAACAGTTCCACAGTACCATTAGGGATGCCCTAATCGTTTAACATTTTCTTTTCTATTTGTTCAGCTGACCAAGTCAGCTCTAGTCACATATCTGGTTGGCTATTGATTGATTAGCCAGAAGTTGGATTGCAACATAGCAGGTTCTAACAATGTTTTCGTTGTTTCTAAGAGTCATAATTATCTAGGTACAGAGACCAAAAAGCTACAAAAGCAGAAAGTAAAAGTTTACTACCTAGATACAATCTGTGCACTGGGAATGTCGCAGCAAGTGCTGTAGCGGGCAGGCCGAGATGGGAGGCAGATTCATAGCCTTCCACTCAAATCCAGTCCCAGATCGACTTGGGTCCCGAGTGCATGATGCTGCCTGATCTTCCTCAACCGTTCTTCTTGGTGGTCCTTCTAAGACTTACATTCCAGTACTCATCATCACAGAATGCCCATGCTGAAAGACCTTGTAGAGGTGATGCTAGAACCTTGTTTATCAAATAACCTGGGTCCCTGTGAGGTTCAACAACTTGTCCAGCTCCGCCATCATTTCCCAAGACCGCTGTAAATGGTATCTGAGCATGGGTGTGTCTTCAAAAGCATCTTAAGATGTTTGCCACTACTTACAGGCAAAGCCAGACCCTTGGTCACCTCTCACTCTTTGTCAGTACTCCTTAATGGTATCAATTGCTTTGCCACACACAAAGGAGCTTCCAAAAAGCTCCTGGGGAATTTTCCATTGCCTTTTAATTCCATTTTTCCATGAACGTTTTGAGGCCCCCTACCCCACCCCCACAACAGTTCCAAGAAGTAGCCTGGGACATCTCAATTTAGCATCTGCAGATACTGAAACCCAGAAGACGTGTGAATAGGTGGCCTATCAATAGATACAGGATTCAACCCACATTTGAGACCAAATTCATAGGTCTCTCCCCTGTACCCGCAATGCCTCAAATGCCTAAAAATTTTCTTTAAATATGAAAGGCTGTACTTCTCAGATTCTTCTATAGAGCTGATCAAAGCAAGCATAAATCATTTTCCCCCTAGCAGAGTATTAGGTACTCTATAGCTCATAATCCCCTGCCTTAATATTTTGACCTATAAGAGCTTAATGCATACCTGAAATTTTTTCTTGCTCCAAGAGCTTAGTGTAAAGATTGAATATCTGTTCCTGGATTTTGCACACAGAGCGTTTAATCTTTTCCCTGCGAGTCACCATGTAAGTGAGGTTCCGAACCTAGAATGTAGAGCATAAAGATTCTAAGTAAGCATAACATTGCAACAGTACTTTGGTCTGGTCTGTTCTTAACCTGAGAGAAATCGGTCCTATCAGGGCCTTGTCAAGACATTTGAAAGCAAAATGTACTTTAAGCATTTTATTTCATCTCTAATTGTCTTTGGGGCTGGTAAGAGATTACACCATATGCCTCTCAGTTGAGGCGGCAGCAACACAGGAGGGGGTTAGATTGTGGGGGAACACACCCAGCCTCAGACCCATCCCAGCAAGTCCTCGGTCAGGACTTCCTCCTCCCTGTTGCCACAGGACTTTTGCTTTCCCACCCCTCCGTTTGATCTTCCCATTCCCTGCTGGCATCTGAGACCTTTGAGCAGTTCAGAGCCATGTCTGCCTCATGTTTATCGTTTATCGAGTGTCTTCTTAAAGTGGATCCGGGTCTGTGAAATGCCTGGAGCTAGTAAGTGGCTTATGGCTAGGGGCCTTGGGGAGGTGGGGGGAGCTCGTCATTGATTTACTACATCGGCATTCCAAGTGGCGAGGTTTCTGTCTGCTGCCACTTCAAAACCTGAGAAAGTCACATGGCTCTCGTCCCCATTCATTTGAAGACCCAAGTGCTGAGAACCCTATCTGCTGAGCACCCTCTGGGGACCCCTAGTACACACTCACTACCATACTGATCACTTAGGTTCACGCTCTTTCTTAAAACCACCTGTGATCAGTCAAGTCAGAAACAAAAAGAATTAGTCAATAAGCCGCCTTAATCCTTGTCCCCCAAAACTCTTCCCCATTGGCAAACCCGACTAAATTACAAGGGCCTCAGATACAAACGTCAAACGGCACACACAGAATATACAACTAAGCCTTTCCTCAGGAAGATGTAGACCAGTCTTCCCAAATTCTCAGTGGCAGTAGTGAATATTGACGGTGGATTCCCATGATCAGGACCTACTATGTGTGGATAACCTTTAAAAAAACCTCAAAACCCAGTCAGTCTATTGCCATCAAGTTGATTCGGGGCTCATAGCAATCCCACAGGGTTTCCAGTTATAATGCTTCCAGCAGCAGTCTGCTGCCTCTTCCTCCCTCAGAGTAGCTGATGGTTTCCAACCATTTGGTTCACAGCTTAGCTCTTTGCCCACTGTGGCAACAGGGCTCCTAAACCACAGCATGGCTACCAAGCACCAAACCAAATCTGCTGCCTGGGACTCGTGGGGAGCCGTTACAGAACTGCTCCATGGGGTGCTCTCGGCTGAAATCCTTATGGATGCAGACCTGACCTCTTTTCCACAGCATCCGCAGGTGAGTCCAAACCACCAACCATTACATTAGTCTTCAGGCCCAAACCATCTGGGGGACCTGAGTGACATGACCACTATCCTAAAAACCACATCTTTCCTTATGCTTGGGCAGTCCCTTCACCTGTGTAAATGGAAAAGGTTCTGAAGCTACCATTCTGCTTTTGGTAGGTGTACATCCATATGTATGAGACCCACACATTGGCTGATACGCAGCCACATCCTAAGTCCTTTGTGAGCCCTACCTAGCAATTTGAGGTGCTCCCCACCCAATGCCACCCCATGCTTGTCCTTGCACCGGGGCTGTGCTCAAGGGGTTCGTGGTAGCAAGCGAACAGAGGAATGAGAAACAGAATGGGTTTCTCCGTGCTTGGCTCTCCGTGCTACTGATTCTCCAGCTAACCCCGGAATGTGAACCCGGGCCTCTGGATCCTGCTTCCTGGACTACCACAATCTGTCTTTATTTCCGCATAGACTCCTTGTGCGACTAACACTTCTGTGACTTTAAAATTAAAGAATTGAAAAGAAACACTTCTCCGATCTCAGCATATTATTTTGGGGTCATTCGCCCCGGTGGAGGCATGTTCTTTGTCTGACACAGCCTCACCTACCCAGAAAAGTAGGTTTTTTTTATTTATAAAAGTTGTGAGCAGTCTGGGGATGGGGCTCACTACCAGACGATTGGATGAATGCTGCTCTGGCCAGCAGATTCGCAGATGAAGCCCAAAAAGGGGCAGACCTATATCCCACATCACAGAGCCAAAACTTCTGAAGAGCACTCGATGGCTTTTAAATAAGATGGGAATCTGACGTCTGCAAGTAGAGATGAAAATAAATCCTCTGGCTTCCTAGGAGTCTGCTGACTACTCATACTCCTGCCAGATATAAAGCAGGAAGACAGATCTCTTCCTTGAGATTTCCCAGGACACAGGGAAATCGGAACCTGCTAGTGAAATGTGGGATCGCTGCAACCATCCTACTGTCCGTCCTCTGCCACCTGGGCCTTCACTGCTAACTGGGGAGGTCTCCCTCCCCCATGCTCTCTGTTGAGAAATGGCTACACACAGCAAAAGAGCCAAGGTATTACTTAATTCTCCACGAATTTGCCCCTGAATGACCCAGTGCTCTGGCCATGCAGTGGAAGACTGAGTGCACCCTAACCCTTAAGTCCCTAAGGCTGGGACAACTGCTCTTCCAGGATGCCTCTTATCCGCAGGCTCCGTGGAGAACAGCGGTTCTCAACCTGTGGGTCGTGACCCCTTTGGGGGTTGAATGATAGTTTCACAGGGGTCACCCGATTCTTAACAGTAGCAAAATTAATTATGAAGTAGCAACGAAAATAATGTTATGGTTGGGGTCACCACAACACGAGGAACTGTATGAAAGGGTCACGGAGGCATTGGGAAGGTTGAGAACCCCTGGTGTAGAGGAACAGAGGCTCTACACCACACATGCCTCAAAGCCTATCTTGGCTGGCCCCATTGGTAGACTACTCAGCCAGCTTGCTCCCCCCTCCTCATCTTATGTCAGTTGCCAATTGGGAGGTAACCAAAGCAGCCAGTTCGTGGCTGGGTGTGTTCTCAGCCATGTTCAACCGGAGAGTCACCATTTCCCCAAAAGCAGTGGTGCCCAAACCGAAGCCGTCATCAGGAAGACCTAGGGAGCTGAAACACAGGTTGCTGGCTCCCCTGCCTTACCCGCCACCAGTTTCCAGGCCAGGAGGGGATGGGTCCAAGAACCTGTGTTTCTTTTAAGTTTCCTACTAAGGTAACCCTGTGCTGCCGGTTGGGGAATCACACTTTAATGGTGACTGCTCTAAGGAATCCAGAATGATCTCAGGTTTTCCTTGAGTCCCAGACTGTAACAGTGGAGCTTAAAGTGCCACCCCCACCCTTTTTTTTCTTCCAGAGAAGAGTTGTCCTCTCAGATTTTCAGAGGCCACCATGGCACCTAGTTGTGAGCAGAGCAGTCTCCAAGGCTAGTTCCCAGGAGCTGCTGGGGTAGCAAACCTTCGGCTGAGCCAGTACTCGTTTGCAGCACTTACATGTTCAGGGGAAGAGTCCCCGCCCAGAGAGCCGAGAGGCAGCCCTGGGAACTTGATGTGGCCACTGCCACACCAGCTGACACATCTTTGGAAAGGACTGTAAACCATGTCTGTCCTCTAACTTTCTGATCAGGACTGGAACACGGGTGTGCAAGGCTCCAGGGTGTGTATTCGCAGGAAGGAGCAATGACTATTATCTTTCATTGGGGTTGTTTGCATTTCTAATGAAGGCTACTTGTTTGCTAGTTTAGGAGTGATTATATGCCTTGATTAGAGTCATGTGTTAAGCTCATTCTTAGGCTGAATAGCGCCTTGAAATGCCATTACGCGAATTAGGCGGAACTCAAACTTACTTGAGAAGTTATATGTAGACCCCCTACCCTAATGAGCCTTTGGCCTGAAATACTTTTTGTTTATAATTACAAAGACTCATGCAACCTTTCTGCAAAGAATTTTTTTCTTTTTTTTTAAATTTTATTTTATTTTAAGCTTCCACCACCACACATGCCTCTTGGTAGATTTTTTTAAAACATTTTTTTCACTATAATTAGCTTGTTTTAAAACCACCCCCCAAATTCCCTCAAATCTCTTAGGCTCTTTAAAAAAATGTAAGGAAAGCCAACACACACACACAAACACACACACACACACACACACAAATCCTATTTATTCCCCTTTCTCATACATCAGTGGTATCATTCTACTTAACAAGCAACAGTCATGACTGCAAAAAAATGTTTAGAATTTAATCGTCAATGTGTGTTAATCTGAGTAACTTAAGCACAGAAAAGAGTTAGTACACCACAAGCATTTTCTACACTTTTATTAATTGTGGTGATTGTGAGACAAACACAGTCCAAACATTAGACTTCTCTTCCTCCCTCCCAAGGACTACCTGACTCCATAGCTCATACAACCCAATTACAGCTGTTGTCGGGTTGGGATAATGGCTTCTCAACAGGATTCCACTGTATCCTGAATCCCTTTCTCATTTCTTAGCAAAAATGCCACACAAACATGGTTGAGAGAAACAAAGTCTTCTTTACACTCACCACCAGGGGGCGGATGGGAGCACAACACCTCACAAACCCTTATTCCAAAGGCAGCTGGAGTCTCAGCCTGAATTGCCCACCTTCCCCACTAAAGGATCTCTAATTAGCTCTTAAAAACACTCTCCCTTCTATGCCATCTCTAACAGGGACAGACAGGTCTGTGAGATCGGGATGCCTTGGTTCAATACTTCTCCAGTTTCTCTCTTCTTTACTCGTCTCCAATCACCCGTGAGTCCACTCCACTCCCAGGCAGGTGAATCACTACCCACTAATAATTAGTTGCACAGGAGAAGTGTTAACTGTTTCAGGCCACTTGGGTGCCTTTCAGTGCATGCTGCTTCAGGCCAGAACGCCTCAGTCCCACCTACTGTGCACTAATGAACTTAAAGGTAGCCAGCAGTCAGGGGAGTTAAGAGGAGTGAAAGCAGAAGGTGCTAGAAGATGGCATCCCCAATTAGCAAGCCATAGTCAGAAACTACCAAGGGGGAGCCTGAGGCCCTGGGGGCAAAGCAGCCCACTAGTAATTATTCCTGTATCTGGGAGGGAGGTCCAGGCGACTGGGACTCTAACTAAAGGTAACGAGACTGGGGGAGCCACAAAGCAGCAAACCTGCTGGAGGAAGTGCCATCAGCTGGCGCTCCAGCAGCCAATGGCCACTAATATTCAGCAGTCCAGTAGTGTAATAACACGAGATCTGTGGTGTGCCGAGCATTGCTGGGGCTCCTCAGACAGCCCTGGGGCTCCAGTGCAGTGGGAATCCCACCCCATACCTGCCCAGGCACAGACAGACACACACACACACACACACACACACACACACACACACACAGCCTCAGTGACAACTTAGCACCTGGCTGCCAGGAGTGTCTTCTGTAACAGAGATGCATGTGTTTGAAGTTCATGCACTCACACAGCACCCATACACTGCTCTGCTCCGTGACAGCACTGGGAATGGCCGATAGTTAGCCAAGACACGAAGGCGGTGGCAGGAGGCAGAGCTTGCTCAGTGTAAGGAGCCCAGTGCCAGCACCTAGAAAGTATTGCCCCAAATCGAACAAGAGACTTTCCTATCTCTGCCACCCCCCCATATAAAATCCACGCTAATTTTCTAACTCAGGTTGTAAACAATGCTGCGTGCCAATGTCTTTGGCCTTTTTCCTAGGGCTCAGCTCCTTCTAGCTGGAGAAGGCAAGTGGGGGGAGAGAGAGAGACACATCCTGTTTAATCTTGCAGAAGAACAATAAGGATTAATGAGAAAGTTTTTTTAAAACCCGAGAAACTCCCCCCTCTGTAGCAGTCTTGCACATAAGTACAATGCGTTTCCCAGCCCATAATTAGGTGTAACCGACACAACCTCATGCTCAGTATGTACACGGGTCTGAGAGTAAATGAAACTGGCTAGCATGTCTTGCTCTGGGCAAGCGTCCTTGCCATCTTCTTCTCTAAGTCACTATAAGGTGTCAGTGTCAATCATTACCCTCTCCAGGTCCTGCCGCAAGTGAGTGAACAGCTGCAGCCTCCTAAACAAGACATCCTGCTCCCGCTTCGCTAGATTGTCCTCTTCGTCTTTCTTTGGAGTGATCAGGGGCTTGTTGAAGTTGACCTTCCTCTTCAACTTCCAGTACTGGTATAGGAAATCCACCACTTCCTCGGGCAGCCGCAGAGCGTGGGCGACATCCAGCAGGTTGACGAAGGTGTAGAACTCGTCCTCCAGCTGCTGCAGCTTCTGCTTACGAACACTCACCCGGTGGGCCTCCTCCCGATTCTGCTCCAGGCTGGCAAAGGGCTCCAGAGAGTTCCGGGGGGAACACTCAGGGGCCCCGTTCTCTTGAGCAGCCCCCTCGCCCCGACCCTCCTCGGGTTTCCTGTGTGAGCTGTGCTTCGGGCAGTAGGACTTGAACTTGACTTCGTCATTCTCTGCCAAGATGGTCTTCATCTCCAGGCCACGGTCAAAAGCACAGGTCACATGGAAGGCTGTGCGGCAGTTCTTCACGGAGCACTGGAAGCACATGAGAGAACAAGAGGGAAGACCATTACAGGGTGACCACACGCAAAGAACCTCGGTGCTGGGCACCTTTCCACCCCCACATGTGCACAAAGATCCTTCCCTCAGAGGGACAGTTTACCCGACGGGCCCTAGTAAGACCATGTGCTAAGTCAGATGAGGTTTGAAATGAGTACTCTCCAGCTGAACATGTGCATGTACCAAACCTTGTCAAATTCCCTCGCAGATAACACTAATGCATATTTAACATGGCACTCCGGACATACATGCGGTCCATGTGAGGCTTAAGGCCGAGACATCCATTTGGGGGGTTTGTTTTGTTTTTTCAGAGTCGAGCTCTTTCAGCGCTTGCTGGAAGCGCTACTGGCACAGAGGTGGAATGATGTGGGGGGAGGAGGCCGTCTGTTCCTGTGCACGTGACAGGCTAGGGTGCCCTCTGACCAATAGGGCTGTCCTGTGACGCTAGATTTGACTCAGTAAGCCAGTTAGTGTTGATATAAAAAGCATGAAGAACAACTTTGAATCCACGTTTTAAAAAGAACAAGAGCCTTCATTCTTTCTCCCTAGCCAAGACGAGCCCGAAACAAGTGGGAAAATAAATGGTACACTTGGCTGGAAACAGCACCCATGGGCACAGCTGGGAGGGTGAAAAAAGGAAACGAAGGGGAGGTGAGCAGAATCAGGACAGGGCGGCCAGTGACGCAGGGCGGCCCGGAGCACGGGCCCTCCGCTGCACACCCTCCGCTGCTGGCTGCTCTGGTGTCATTTGGGCTGAGAAAAGAGGCTGCAGAAAGTGAGAGACCCACTTCCCGTGGTAGCCAGAGGTCACCCCGGAGGCCAGGCATCGTAAAGCTGCACTTCCCCTCCTCGCTAAACACCTCCACTCCGAGCACTGCTTAATCAGAGCTGGAATTGAGTGCCTTTGATCCGGATGACAAGCAGAGACCGGCAAGCCAAAGGCCTGGCTGAGAGAGGTGATTAACTTCTCCCTGACTGATCTTGCTGAGCGAATCCCTGGAAGGAGGCTCCTGGTGGTGACTGAAGCCAGTCCCTTAAAAGCAGAGCTGTATTGTGTGAGGCCAAACGGTCCCCAAACGGTCCCCTGGGCAAGCCACGGCTGCCGTCGCCGAGAGGAACAAAATCCAGTGGCTCTAAGCCAAAGCTCAAAGCTTAATTAAACTCATTCAACAGACCCGGAATCGCATATCCGCCAATGGCAGAGGCTGGAGCTGGGGCCTTTCCCCCTGATCGTGTTTAGTATTTAAGAGGTGACACTCTGCCAGCTGCGATGCCCTCCCTCCATTATTATGAGGTTCTCTCTGACTCAGGAGTGGCGAGAAAAGTCCTTTTCCCTCGACCACTCCCCCCACTACAAACACCTAAAAGCACAGGAACTAACACAAATCTGTAACTTTATCTATACCTAACCTCACTTCCAAAAAAACGTGAAGTCGGCCTTGGTGGCAGAGCATGCGTGTGTACACACACACACACACACACACACACACACTCTCTCTCTCTCTCCTGGAAACACAAAGCAGCCCGCACGAGGCAACATGGGAACAAGTGACTGCGTCGCTCTCCGGCTCTGGCGTCAACGACCCTTCCCTCTGACCTTAGAGAGAAACGAGCTGCGGGGCGATATTTACACAGGATTTTGAAAGGGCGCCACATGGCCTTCCGCTGGGTTCTCCTCTTCAGGTTGACTCAGCAAACAGATGTTACAGAAACGTGAACCAGAGCCTTCACAGCTGCAGACGTTTCAGAGAGGAGGTCTTTAATAAAAACCAACCCATTCTGTAAAGATATGAGAAGAAGTCACCCGCCTCTCCGGGCCTCCTCTTCAAATGACTGTTCTGGGGAAAAGAGGCCATTAGCTCATCTCTCTTCAAAAGAGAAATAAAGACGCCACTCACCCACCCCTTTCAGAGACCAATGGAGGACGAGGGCTGACTGGCCGGGGAGAGGGAATCAATTCAGTCCTCAAGAGAACCTCAGGTAAATTGGAAACAATCATTTCCATGTTCCTTGATCTGCTAGCTTCCTTCCTACAAGTACACACACACACACACACACACACACTTATACACACCCATCACAAATGCCTTTCCTTTTATTTTTGGCTTTTAGATTTCAAAGCCATACCTGACGACTTCCGCCATTCTCCTTCCTCAATCCAACTCTGAGCCTGGAGGGCTTTGGTTTTTGCCATATTTTAAAGAAATTCTACTCATGCACACCCCCCCAAAAAAACAGCCTTCATTCTCTTCAAGTGTCCCCCAACCAAGTGTCCCACTTGTCATCGTGTCCTACCCTCTGAACAGCTGTCATGTTTGGATTCTTGGACACAGGCAGCAGTGATACCAACACCCACCAATTGGTGGGCACCTGACCAAAAGAAGTTTGTGCCTGCCATGGCACAAACTGAGCATGCAGATGAGGTCATGTCCTTAAAGCCCACCACAGAGGGTTTGCGCATGCTCATGAAGCGTGTGTCTGTGCACAGCTATTTTACTTTCGGCCAGGCTGCCCCAATGCCTCCGCTAAGAACGGGATGCAGAAACTGAGGCACAGCCCACGGCCCTGTCCGGTACCTCCAACAAGAAAGGCCGGTAGGGCCAATGCGAGAGTAGTAGTTCACAGGGAGATCTGGTGAGTGAGCAGAGTTTCAGGCCTCTCAAACCACGACTGCATGGCAATAGGTGAGACCCAGAAATTAACTCTGGTGAGTAGGGTTTAAACATGAACGAACAGACAGCAAGGCATCTGCAATGCCTCCTCCTCTCTGCCGACTTCATACGTGCCTCCATATGTGGACGTAGAAAATGCCTGCAAATTTTCACAGAGAAGCTTGCTCCTTGCTCCCTCCCACGCACACACTACTTGTCCTCTCACATCGTGGTGACAGAGAACCAGATAATCAAATTGTGTTCAGGTAACACCAGAGCCCGCCTATCTGCCTATCTGCCTCTCTACCCAGTCATATCTGTCTTGGAAGAAGTATAGCTAGAGTGCTCTGTAGAGACGAGGATAGCAGCAAAGCTTCATCACACATACTGTGGACATGTCGTCAGGAGAGACCAGTCCCTGGAGAAGGAAGTCTTGCTTGGTAAGGTGAGGGGCAGGGAAAAGGAGGAAGGCTCTCAGTGAGATGGTGTGACACCATGGCTGCACTGAGGGGCTAGAGCATCGGAACCATTCTGAGGACAAATGTACAAATGTGCTTGACACAAGGGATGGAAGGATGGAGGGGTGGTGATAAGAGTTTACGAGCCCCCAATAAAATGCTTTAAAAAAAAAAAGAAGAAGAATCATTCTGAGGATGGCGTCAGGCAGGCCAGCGTTCCTTTGTGTTGTGCATAGGGTCACTCTGGGGTGGAACCAACCAACAGGATGGCACCTAGCAACCACCACACCCAGCCAGCGCTCCAAGGAGCCTGCGTCTTCATAAACACAGAAGAACCTGCATGCCAGCTGACTGCCAGCAGGAGTACCCACGGCTGCTGGTCTGCAGCTGCACACCTGTAGCACGCAGGCGAGTGAGGGCCAACCTGCAGGTCTCATGTGAAGGAGTAAATGGAAGGATCTCTCCTTCCCAGACAGTGCCTGTTTGTGGTGCTGGTGCCAGGCTCGGGCACAGAGTGGGGACTGGACACAAATGAAAGAGCCCCACAGCTTGGCCAGACTTGGGAGTTTCGCTGTGACTACGACAGCCTGGGCTCCAGTGACACTGAGAGCACTCACCCAGCTGAAGGCGTCTGCACCAGGCTGGGGTCAGCGCAGTGGAAGCGCAGGAGGCTGTCCAATTCGCAGCCTGCTTCCCAGGCTGTCGCCCCAGCTCCACGCCCGCCCTGCGACAGGCAGTTCAGAGCCCACGCTCATCGTGCTCCCAGAGGCAGAGCAGGCCACGGAGGCCAATTACCTGTATGGAGGCCCCAAACTTCTCACTGCAGAGGCTGCACACGAGCGCCCACCGGCTGCTGGGGATGTGGGACACCTTGGTGATGGGCTCCATCTTCTCGGGGCTGCCAATGCTCACCTAGAGGTCCAAGACAGGGGAGCAGGGGCTGTCAGAGGCTAAGAATGCAGAGCAGAAAGTTATACATCAGGAGTCCTCAAACTTTTTTAATGGGGCCAGTTCACTGTCCCTCAGACCGTTGGAGGGCCGGACTACAGGTTAAAAAAAAACTATGAACAAATTCCTATGCACACTGGACAAGTCGGCTAAGCAGGGCAGGCAGCAGCAACAAAAACACCCGGTGGGCTGGATAAATGCCCTCCGCGGGCCGCAGTTTGAGGAACCTGTTATAGATTCACTATGTTGTCAGATTCCCTCTACTGCACAAGTGGCAGGGGATGCTAAGCCTCTGAGAACGAGTGAATCCCTACTTCAGGAGGACCAGGAGAGGCCAGGGGCCCAGCACAGCCCACACAGCAAGAGAACCACAGCACTCAGTCTTCCTGCCTGTGGCCTCTATGCACACGGCTATCTGTCCAACGCAGGCATCCTCGCTCCTGGGGACACCCACATAACCAAATCTTCGCCCTTCAATATGCACTCCTCACCCAAATGGCAGTGCAAGGTAGTGCCACCTCCTGTAACTTCTGGCCCACAAGGAAGTAGTCAAGGCTAAAAGTATAATCCTAAGTATGTTTGAACAGGTTTGTCAACAAATGGAGGAAGTGTCTCTTTAAATCTCTCACGAGAGAGAACCATTCTCTTCAGTCAGAAAACTGCAGCCAAAGTGGGAAATGACCAAGGTACTGAGGTGTCTCTCGGCCCTTTGCCCAGGTCACTGAACTGCAGCACCCTGCCCAGGCTGAGCCATGAGACTGCCACCACCAAGACTCGAATCGTGGCTGCCTCTCCTCCGCCCCGAACCCAACCATCCCTGTGTCTTTTCCCTCGGGAGGAAAAGACCCAGCAGCAAAATCACACACCCCAAAATGCTGACATTTGAATCGCAAATGATATTCTCAAAGTGAGCCAGGCAAATTAAATTAGTCAAGGTCTGGGCCTTGACAGGAATTAGAGCAGACCTGCGATTTGAAAGGTTGAAGCTAAGCAAGAGAATTTAAATTCAAAAAAAAAATCACAGGCATGCGCCTAGAGCCATGGTTCCTAACCACAGTGGGGCCACCTGTAGGGCCCACCAAGCCCAGGGCTGGATTTCCAGCAGTTCCTTAGGGTTCAATCTGCTCCTGGGGTGGGTCACCAAGGGGAAGGTCAGTGGGGTCGGTACTTAAGTGAAGGAGAACACCACCAACCTAGACTCGAGCCCACAGCTGTTCCCGTTACCATGTCCACCAATGGACAAGTGCATTCCCCGAGATGAAAGTGGGCTTGAGACTCAGGGGAAAGGGGAAGGACAGAGGCGACAATAAAAAGATTGCTTTTTACTTGGTGGCTATAATGCTGCCCAGTTATGAATCGTTCCCCGACCCCACCCAATCTATTCAGACTAGTGAGACCCAGACCTACCTCGGGGATCCACAGAGCGCAGCTGACGTGGACCCATTTGGTCCCACTGCGGGTCGGCTTCATTGCTCCCCCTTTCTTGGGACACAGCAAGCACTTGGGCTGCACCCCCAGGGCACAGGTCCGGCACAGCCAGCTACCCTCCGGCACCTTGAGGATTCCATAACAGGCCTGTGACACCGAAGCACACCGCCAAGGAAATGGAGAAGAAACATGATTTCTTGTTCCACTGCAACCAGGTACTTGAAAATACCAAGAATTCTAACACAACCACTAGAGTAGAGGTAGCCCCACATCCATTCACCTGGCCCCTTCAGAAAGATGCCAGGCAGGGCACACCCAGGATGGGTGTGAGACATAGTGTGCAAAATCTGCACACACCATACATACTTATTGTAGCTGAGGACAATCCTAACAATGGGTTCCTGGGTGATGTAATCAGTTGGCACTTTGCACCCACACAGAGGCACCTCAGAAGAAAGGTCTGGCAATCCACTGCCAAATGACCACAGTCATTGAAAACCCTATGGAACGCAGTTCTACCCTGACACACAAGGGGTCACCAGGAGCCAGAAGCGGCTCATTGGCAGCTGGTTTGGTTTGGGGATTCTAGAAAACTCTGGGAAAGAAAGGGCCTACCAAAAAACTCTGCTCTGATGTGTTGCTACACAAACCCACCTACTGCAAGTATCAAATAGTGAGCAGTAAACCTCAACACTGTACAAGGCACAACGGGGGAGGAAGCTAGTACTTACTCCCTTACTTTACTGGTGGGGGCTGGTTTGAACACCCGCAGTGGGGGAGGGGGAAGTACGAAGCATTTGAGAAAACTCTCCCAAAGCGACTAGGCAGGTGGACATGGAAACAATGTGTGGAACATCTTTACCCTACCCACCCGCAGGCCAAACAAACTCTCCCAGCTAGATCACGCTCCCCATGTGCAGCCGAGGCTCTCTAGACAAAGGGAGGAAAACTGCCTATAACTGGTACTGAAAACCAAGTCCGTTTCACACATAAGGGCAAAATCACACAAGGCAGCTAAAAGTGCTGTTATAACTCATGTAGTTCAGATGGTTCACACAAAGAAAAAGGCCCATGTTAAAGAAATGAAGTGAAGCAACAGAGCCACGATGGGACAGGAGTGCGTTCAGACCCTTTTAAGAGCCAAACTGCTCGGACCATTATCCTTATGAACTGGAGGTCAGGAAGTCGAGTCGCAGGAACACGGCTCCAATTCTCCAGACGGGGTAAAAAGAAACAAGCACATGTGAAGGCCCAGGACGCAGAGAGGCAGCCACAGGCCTGAGAGTCCCTGGAGGGAAACAGCCCTGAGACTGGAGCTTAGGAGGCTACGCTAGTGTCAGTGTACACCCACTGGGTTTACTGGAAAATAAAAACGTCAATGGAGTTAAATGATACAATAAAGCTTTCAAGTAGGAAAGGCAGCTATACACTGTCTAAATCAAGCATTCTGGCAAACAGGATCTGAAAAGACGTTTTCTTAAAAACTGGAAAAGGTGCTCTGAGGTCATTAAAAAGATTCACTAAAGTATGCCATGAAGGATCTTCCAAAAGAAAAATGAAGTTAGCATTACAAAATGGAAACACCATGCTATCATGACAGAAAGGCCAGGAGGCAGAGGTCCTGGGTGCCACCCCTGCCCGTCCCCCACATCATCTGCACCCTGCCACCACATATAGCAGGCATTTTTTAATGGTGTTTATAGCAAAGTCTCTTGCTTCACACAAAAATGTTCACAACAAAATACGGGGAGACAAAAAAAAATAATGTAAGAAAAGACTGAGAAGTTTCAACCAAGTGAATAGGAGACATACAATGACCACAAACGGCATCAACGGTAGTCCCACTGTTCACAACTGTGGCACCCCAGAAACACTGAGGGCACTCTCCAACTACGGAAGCTCAGACGGTCTGAAAACTCAGAGCTACAAAAAGAGTTCCCCAACATGACCTATGCAGGACCTCACGGCCTCAAGCCTCCCTCTGAAGATGGGCTGGGACAAGGGCCGAGCTGGGAAAGTCCTCGGTCAGAGGAAAGCACAAGAAGCAGACATGATTAGAAGGAATGATTATTGGCCATGGGGCACATCTGATTCTTCTTCTGGAGAAGTCACCCAAGCAGCTATCCAGACGGGTCGCTCTTCAAATGTTCTTTAAAAATCCCAGAGTAGGGGACGGGGGTGGGGTGGGGGCGCAGTGAAAAAAAAAAAAAAATCCCAGGGTCAACAGGTAAACTCATCCAAAGGGCCTTTTAAATCACAAGGGCGTATAGGGCCTGTGTCCCCATACAAATCAGAATAACTTCATTATCCCATTAAAAAATAAAAGCATTTGAGAGAGACTGACCGAGATTGTCCCAGCTTTTAAATCATCCAGGCCCTAGCCTCACTGAAGGCTAAGGATTTGCCTTTCTGCGGACAGCTTGAAGGGCAGGAAATGGCCTTCAGTCCAGTGTTCTTACCACCAACATTCAGGTGTCCAGGCAGGAGGAGTGGGCTTGGGTGTTCAGTAAGCCTGACTTCGTTAATAAAGCACTCAATGAAGGAGGAAGACTCCACAGAGGCTCTTAGTGTTGACTGCAGTGAACGTAGCAAGAAATACTTTAAACATGTAAACACCTACTGGGGAGGGGAGAGAGATTTTTGTCTAAGGGGAGCATGTCTTTAAACCACCGATAGTAATGAGACAGAAAATCCTGCGGAGAGAAAATCCTGAGCCTCCCTACTGGAAAACGGGCTCGCGTCCCGACGGCCTCTGGGCTGGGCTCCCCACATACCTGGTGCACGCAGATGTTGCATTTGTCGCAGAACACCATCTCGTTGCCGTCCTCACCGTCAGGCGACTGGCAGACATCGCAGACAACATCTTCGTCATACTCAATCCCCAGCCCTTCTTCCGTCTCGATAGCGTGGTTCATATTGTCGTAGCACCGCTGTTCAAATTCTTCCAGAACCCTTTCCATGGTGTATTCATCCAGCTCAGGCATTCCTAGGGTAAGATGCCACAAAACTGCTTTCAATAGACCTACACTAGTAGTATTACACTAAGTGTTACCATTCGTTGCTGTTGAATCCGCTCCAGCTCATGACGAGTGGTGTACTTATATTTAAAAATAATTTTACAATATGTAGATAGTATTAGGTATCAATTCATCCCAGCCACTCAGACCCATTCAAGGAATGATCTTTAATCAAAAGGCAGAAGTTTGTTCCTTAAGGTCAGGCCCTGACGGTCTGGGGACAGCAGAGCAAAAGATAATCCCCACACAGCTCCGTTATAAAGCGCAGAGAGTGCTGTCACGTCACCTCACTCTAGTTATTACATAATAATACACGTGACTTCAAAACCAGGATTACATATATAGTTTGGGTGGGTTTTTTCCTATAAAAATCATTCTTTTCACTGTGCTTTAAAAACACTGCTCCGAATTCACTCTGAGCCCTCCGATGTCATTATCTGGTTCATCCTGCCTCGCTCTTGGAATTCTAGAGCTGAAATGTACTGAAATGTCTAAATCGCAGGAGACAGTTCAGTGTGAATCAAATAAAATATATTCTTAATGCAAGAATGATCAAACTAAATCTTAAGTGGTTAGTATGGTTACAGTAAGCAAGTGTAAGACTTTTGTAGTCCCTCCATTTGCAGATATTTTCCAAGTTCCCTACCATGAAAGTACTTGTGCAGAGGGAAAGAAAATAAAATTATTTTAAAATGTTCAAATGGCAAGAACAGAAATGCCTTTAGATAGAGTAAATAATAACGTACATGCATTATCATAAATTTTGAAAACTATCACATTAACCTCACAATTTTAAAAATTAAACCACATTAGGGCCGATACTGTGTAGAGTCCAAAACACATATTCGAAACCGCCATCTACCATCTAAACCCTATTGTAATTCTCATTCTAGATTGTGAGACCAGGTACCTCTCAACCCAATTCCTCTAATGGTTTTGTGAACACTGCTGTCTTTGAAAGTATAAAACCATGCCCCATTTTTTAGCTAGAATTTCAGAACAATTAATAGGCAAGAGAAAAGCTGTTAAGCATGGTTTCTTCCCCCAAAGTACTCAGCAATATCTTCAAATCTGATGAGTTAGCCCATTCACAAATGCCAAGTGTCTCTGACTATATCCTCTGACTTAGCACAGGACACCTAGAGCCAATCAAGTGCATCACACTGATCTTTGGAACACTGCTTACGAAGTAAAACTCTATAACCTATGAAGATGAAAACTAGTATCCAGTTCCCCAAGAGAGCCCTGCACACTTCTGAACAGATTCTACAAACCCATCTCCTGGCCCTACTAATTTTCGGGTCACTAATACCTAGAGCCCTGGTGATATAGTAGTTATGTGCTGGGCTGCTAACACAGGGAGGCTGGAGCCCTGGAAGCCCACAGCAGCAGTTCACCCTGCCCCTATGCGTTGGAATGGACTCGTTTGGTTTTGAGTCTCTAGAAGCAAGGACTGTGACAGAAGGGAAATGAACTTTCAGTCTGTTAAGCCAGCGTGACCCAACTAGTAGAAGACAGCAACAATGGGCTCCGTCCACTCAGGGTCATGATCATCCCTCCACTTGTCAACGAGCAGCATGGCAAGGCAATAGTAAAGCATCCGTTAGGTGACAGGCCCTGAGCTAGAACCCATGTACGGTACCAAGGAAGGGCACAAGCCTTTCTCTTTGGGGCTGAAACCTACCCCTACAAGCTTTAAGGAAGTGTCTACTAGATGGAGCAATGCTAAACCAAGAGGTCAGTGGTTTGAACCATCCGTCAGCGGCTCTGTGGAAGAAAGACCAGCTGATCTGCTTCTGCCCAGACTGCAGCTAGGATGCAGTACCCTGCTGTCATGAGGATGAACTGCCGAGGTAATACATTACAATAACAGGTTATAAAGAGTCCATGAGTGGTCCAAATGGCTAATGGACTTCAGAAGCTAGAGATTTGAGTTGAGACGGCGGCAGCACCAAAGGCTTGGCTATCTACTTGTGGCAAACAAGTCACTGGAAACCCCACGGAGCACAGTTCTACTCTGATATACACAGGACTACATCGAGCTGGAGTCTACTCAAGGGCAATGGGCTTTGTCAGATTGCAAAGAGGAGCGGAGCTACCCACCCTGCCCTGCCCTGGGCCCACAGCAGGGGGTCACAAAGCCAACCAATCCTCAATGTCTTTTTTCTGGACCAGTCTCATGCACGGAGCCCAGACGTCACCTCACCGTGTTTCTCATTATCAAAGTAGCCCTTGGCACTTCGACATGGCCTGCAAGATGAGACCCACATGCTATCCTGGTCTCCACACAGCAAGAGGCAAGCAGCCGAAGCCCAGAAACCCCAGCTTCTACGTTTACAAAGATGCATCACTTACAGCGTACTCAGCTAAGCGAGAGCCTCCTTGAAGGCAAGCGAAGACAGACATAAGCAGGGTAAGGGTGGGCACTCCAGGGCTGGGACAGGACTTAAGGAAAAGCTCGGAGAAAACACAAGTAATGAGCTTGAAAAGGGGGGAGCTCAAAATGTTTTGAGAATGATGATGGCAACAAATGTACAAATGGGCTTGACACAACGGATGGATGGATTGTGATAAGAGTTGTATGAGCCCCCAATAAAATGATTTAAAAAAATAAAAGAGTGAGCTCAGCTAGAATAGAGTTCATTGTGAGAGGTGGCAGGCCACAGCTCAAGAAGGGAATCTGCGTGGCATCAGAGAAAAAGCAAAACAAAACGTGAGTCCAGGAAAATGGTGGCACAGACCTTTCTGTGACCTGCAGGAGAATCACTTCATTTCTCTGGCTGGCAATTCCTCAAGGTCAACGATTGAGGGGTTAAATCTGAGCAGGAATGGTGACACCCATGGTTTACGAGTCGTGCTTCAATCCCAGGCCAGTGGAAACCAAGGTTAGTCTATCTTCACACATCTGCACCTTCTAAAAAGCTCATCTCTAAAAAACAGCCCGTTCTGGGACTAACTGAAGCTCCGATAGAGCTGGTTCCACCTACCAGTGATAGACTTCTCTTACTCATCCACACTCCTACAGAGGTCCCTAGGTGTCACAATTGTTTGCGAAAGGTCGGTGGCTCAAACCTGACCGGAGGCGCCAAAGAAGAAAGATTATAGCCAAGAAAACCCCTAGAGCATGGAGCTACACTGTAATGCAGCCAAGTTGCCTGGGGATGGCAATGTGTTTGGTGTCATTCACGTAAATCTAAAATGTTAAGTTAATAAAAAAAGGAGTCTCTCACCCATCTCCTTAAATTCTTCATTGGTCAGTTCCAGCCACGCGGCGTCCATGTCATTGAGGTCGTAACGACACACGCCGTCAGCCAGTGCTCGGATGTCCACGTAGCCCAGCTCCGGAGGCTCGGATCCCGATGAGACGATGTAGTTCTTGGGCCTGATGAACATGAGGGACTTCTCTTCAGACACAACCCTACTTCACAAGAACACAAGGCAGCCAGGTTACCCTTTCTGCCACATAAAAGGAAGTTTGTGAGAAGGTCCCAGCTGCAGTTGCCTCCCCAGCCCTCAAAATCCCACGTAGTCAGCAAAAGCCACCATTGGGGTGGAGCCCAGGTTAATAAAAAAAAGCATAGGTTTAAAGCCTTAGGATCACAGCGAATAAAACTGTAACTAGAAGTAGTTCAAAGTCCCTACAATAGAAACAGACAGAAGTAAAAACACTGCAAACATCTATGAAGCCAGCTGCTTCTGCCTCTGGGTTTCCCAGGATGCCGGCGTGCCCCGCATTCTCTATGGCAGCAGTTGCTGCACCTGCTGGCACTCCAGAAAATACTGACCCCCCAGTGCCCAGGGCTACCCATTAAGTCACTTTCCATTAGTCAGGCCCGCCTGTCCCTGCTGGAGGCCGTCAGAACCAGATGGCTGCAACACCGGGCTCTGGAGAGTACACCCAAGGAGGCAAAGGCAGCCAGAGCCACCAGCAGGGGCATTCTCAGGAAGGCGCTGGGGGTGTGGGAAGAACCGGCCAGCAGTGATGCAGAAAGGATGGGGGAGGAAGGAGAGCAGGCAGGGCTTGACCATGGCAGAGAAATCTAAGAATCGGTCCCAGCCCAGTAGGGGATTCTCCTAAGGAAAAGGCAGAGCCAGGAAGAGGAGCACACGTGGCAGGGGCTACGGCAGGTGCTCTTCCCAAGTGACCGCGCGTTCCCCGAGCCTGCGCACACGGGCCCACTCAAAATCAATGGCAGCAACGAAGCCCTTCAGCTCCTTCTCAACTCAGCCTGGAGCCCTCAGCTAAATGTCCAGAACCAGAGGCCCAAAGGCCCACAAAGTTCCTCCTCACCTCTGTGTTTGCAATCTGCTTTCATAGTAACAAGTTGCCAAAGAATGTGTCCGTATTCTATCATCACTCTTAGGATAACAAATCGCACAAAGAATGTGCCCAAGCATTTCTATCACCCTTAGGATAACACAGCGGGCTGTATCGCCACTATCCCGGGATGACCAGTGGAACCGGTTTCTCTCAGGAGATCCAGAGCAAGACTTCAGCTGGAAACGTCCAACACTTGTGTTAGCTCTTGTGTTCTTTTCCCTGGACTTCTAATTGAAATTGAACAATTTAACAAGAAATTTCTGCAATGGGGCCACCACTCAGATGCAGATGCCAATGTAAACACACGTTGTTTATCTTGCGGTGTCCAGAGAAAAAGCCCACTTTCCTGACTGGATTACTACCCTATAGAAGCCAGCCAGGGGCTCTGATTGGTCATTGCTGGACTGTAGTGACCTGTGGACAGCTTGCTCCATTGAACAGAGTCCTCACAGCAAAATGACAACCATCAGAATTGAGCCGCTCAAGTGGGGGTGAGAGGGAGGAGAAGCAAATGCAGGCCGTGCTCGGCAACGGAGAGGCTGCTTCCCAGGGCGGACAGCGGCAGCCCGGCAGCCACACCACCAGGTGCAGGCGGCCTGCGTGCGGAGGAGCAGCTACAGCAGCAGGCTGAGGGAGACTGGGGGGACCCCACTCTCAGACTCTTCATGCAATAGGTACCTTGTAAGCCAACAGAGGGGGAGCATCGCAAAATTTGAAAGGCCATCCGTAAGAAAATCCACTGAATAGTTTCCTCTAGAAGCCCCCCGCCCACCTTCCCCTATCCTGGTGGGCCTCCTCACACCTGTGGTTCCCCAAAAGGTAGAGGCAATCGATGGGGTCTGATCCCAGACCCTGCGCCCCCAGTCGAGTCCCCCTCAGAAGGACAGGCCAGCAGGAGGACACACATAGGGTCCAAGAGTGAGCAGCAGTGTGGACGCCCCCATGAACCTCCCCTCTCCCAGACTGTCTGGGAAAGTGCCCTCTTCACTGAAGAGTAGGCCTTCCCCAAATGGCTGGGAAGTGACGTGCAGAGGTCCCCAGGCGTGCACCTCCCGCCCTTAAAGATCTCAGAGGATTGTATGGCTAACTCAAAAGTGGCTTCTTCTCAGGGCATGGTTTATCTCCCCCGGCTACCCAGGGAAGCAGAGCAAGGGGGAGGGGGGGAGGCAGGGGCAGCACTGCTCCCCTCTAGCGAGTTTCTACCTGGCCACAGGCTGCGGGATGGTCCCGGGGCTCACTGGCACCTGGACCCCTTTCTCCCACTCCTGCCTCCAGGGGTCTGCCAGCACATAGTACTCATCTGGGTTCAGCTGGTAGGAGTCATGCAGCTTCATAGCGGTGATCAGGTCTGTCCTAAACACCTGGAGAGGGAAAGAAAGGGACACTGGCATTGATATTTGCCTTCCTCCTCAAGAGCACAAGCCGCAGCAGGGGGCCACAGAGCTGCTGCGACCCACCCTGACCTCACGCCGCTCCGGGGCAGCTGCCCAGCGAGCCCACTGCCGCCAAGTGCCACCACAGAGCCCACCTACTTCGAGTCCTTCTCGACCGCCCAAGACCGCTCACGTCCCCAGTAGGGCTGCTGACGATACCAACCTGACCGGCCGCAGAGGGAGCCATGTCTGCTCACTCGAGAAAGGAGTAAGAACCAGACTTCGCCAACCGTACACCCGCTTCAAACCCACACGGCCGGGGCCCAGTGTGGCACCCTCCCTAATCTACTCAGTGCCACTTACTCTTACTTGGGCTCACCCTCGGGGCACGGGGCCCCACGACCAAGCGCTGGCCGGGTCAAGGTCCCGTGCGGGCCAGCTAGGGCCAGGCAGAGACAGTGAGTGTCCTGGAGAACATTCTGGGAGAGAAGCATCAACAGAAAGCTAGAGGGCCGAGCTGGCGGCCAGGCCCACGCCGACCACCTGTGTGTACACTGCCCCCAGCCTAGCTTGGAGTCAGAGAGGAGATGAGCTAGGAGACGATCACCCCGCTCTTCCCAGCCGGCCCACATCACACCGATCCACAACACTCAGGCGCAGCCCTCTGCTCGGAGTGCGACTCCACCCCCCAGCCGAGGCCCAAAGAAGAAAGCCACAGGGCAGGCAGCCCTCCACGGGGAACAATGCCAGAGCCCTGGGCGGCTGCGGGCGAGCACAGCCCCATCCCAGCCGGCTACCCGCCGCCTCCCCCACAGCCTGGCCTCAGCCCACTCCTGTCTGAGGGCGACCCGAGGAAGCACTGACCTTGGCATCCGCACCCGCCCGAAGTTGTGTTTGGCACTGAGCGAGCCTGCATCTGTAAGCCACACTCTGTGTTTGCACAAGTCACAATGCTGAACTCTCTCTTCCCGGGACAGGGAGTTCTTTCTTGTGCTGCTGAGCACAGGCCACATTCTGTGCCTGCTAATGGGTCCATATTTGTTTTTCCTGGTGGCTTTTCAGGGTGGCCATCACTGTAATAAACCTCACCATAATGAAGTCTGAGGCAGTCTCTGAATAAAAAAGCCGTTTCTCCAGCCTGCCATCTCCGGCACCGCCTGTTCCACAGCACGCCACTCCACGGCTCCAAAAGCCAGGCGACAAGCGAGCGCCAGGCCAACCACCTTCCACAAAACCAGGAGCGAGACCAGGCTCCCCGCAGCAGGCGCCCACTTTACTCAGCCATCCCTGCCCTGCCTCAACCAACAACAGCTAGTGGAACCTGGAAGTCATAGGTCGACAGGTAAAAAGATCATTCCACCAAACCTTAAAAGTGAAAATGAAAATGGAATAAAGGAGCTTGCTAAAGAAGGACAATCAAACTGAACCAGAGAGATGAGAAAAGGCAGGCCAGCCCTCTTCAACACCCCCCCACCCCCGCCCCAGACCGGCCCTAATCCTTTAGTCAAAGACTCAGAGGAATGATTCGTCATGAATTCTAACAAATGCCCTCAAGTAGACCTAAGCTCCCGAGCCCATGGGCAGCCTCCAACATCAGTGCTTCAGGTATAAAGTACTCTGAACTTGGGGCTGAACTAAGACACGTCAGGGTGAGGCCAATGAGCCATCTGGGTGGCTAGGCTCATTCTTGCTGCCGGAGGCCCTGCAAGGGTGCCTCCGACTCCACTGGTGGGTGCTGCAGTTGGGCCCACAGAGCAGCAGCTCTTCTCAGAGAGCGCGGTCCTGCTGCCCTGAACGCTCAGGAGTGCAGTGTGGACATGCTATTGGGCAGGCAACCCCGGGACTTACAGAAGAGTTATTTTTTTAAAGAGCAGCAGAGGATTCCAGTGGTAGAGAAAAGGAAGCATCAAAAGTTTGAACGGACAAAAGACCAGGACCAAATCCGGGTGGCAAGAATGGCCACCTTCCCAGGATCATCTGATCTAATGCTGATGTGTCTCCTGGAGGGTTTCCTGTAACTCTAAATGGTGTAAGTGGTCTCCTCGCGAAGGCTGCTAGTCCACACTTAACTGCTCGTCCCCCAACACAGCAAACCCCGTGCCCCACTGCGGTCTGTGAGCCATGGACGCCCTGGCCCGGCCCCAGCACAAGAGGAGCCTGTCTTTGAAGGCACCCTGTTTCGTGGCAGCACAAACATGCGCTGCTTCCGAGAAAGCCTTCATTCCCCTACCCTGCTTCTGGAAGAATGCAACCAACTCAAAAGCCTTTTCTTCACTGACTTCAACCCTCAGAGCCCTGCAAAGGTATTCTGAGAACGCAAACTTCGGCATCAGTCAACAAAAGGCCAGCAGAGAGATGTACTTAAAACAATGTAGGGAAAGGAGGAGGGAGATAGGGAAATGAATAACAGCAACAAAATGTAGGCGAACAGGGAGGTGTGTGTGGGGGGAGGGGGACGTAAGATGATAAATAAATTGGGAAAGGAGGAGAGCCTTAAGCATAATCCCCAAAACAAAACTCCCAGAACATCAGGTTGTTCCAAATAAGTCCCAAATACATGGCTAAAACTAACTTGAGGCTGGCAGTGACCGGCAGCAGCCGAACTCGCTGATCTCCTGGCCAGAGGAAAAGTTGTTGGGAGCCAGCAAAGATGAAACAGAAAAGGAGAAAAGAATATAATTAATAATAGCTAACATTTACTGAGCACTTTTTATATGCCAGCAATTAGCCACGTGCTTTGTGTGTATTAACCTATAGATATTAGCCCACTTAATCCTCACAAGAATCCTAGGAGGTCAGCCCCTGCTTTACTCCCATCTCACACAGATTTGGAAGCTGAGGCAGCGAGAGGCTCAAGATCTTGCCCCAAAGTGCAAAGACAGACATCAACCAGTCAGATGAGTGTGCCGTTCGTGTGTGTATGCAGGCACGTATGCGGCGTGCAGTTGTACAGCTCAGGAAATACCTCTGAAGGCTTTCGGTCTTCATGGCGGGAGCACGAGCTGCTCCTGTGCTGGGGTCTGGAACTCTGGGACCAAGTAGTTGACAGACCTACAGAGACAAAGACCCAACAGGAACAATTAAACACCACACAGGCCATGGGGTCTTGCTTCGGTCTTACCAACATTCCCAGAGGCCCATCTCACCGGCATAGTGCTTGATGGCATGAACCTTCTGACAGGAGTCCTCTATTCCCATTACTTGAAACACTCATCTCCCAAAGCAAGCTCTGGTGTTTCCTGGGTGGGGAGCTTTGTCCCAGGAGACGGGACAAAGGACGCCGGGTCCCAGGAGAGGAAGTAAGGACTCCATGCAGTGCAGTCCTCATCTTTAAGTTTGTACTTCTCGTGTTAGGTGTAGCTCGCACATTGGTAAATGCAAACCAGAAACCTCTGGCTGACTTTCATGAAGCTTCCCCAAATGATACGATCATTATGCTAAAACTTAATCCCACCCCCAACACATCGAAGAAATCCGTACTCTCCAGAAGAAAGAACCTCAGACCAGTGGTGGAATTGTCCTCAAGTGTTGTAGCCAAATCATCTTCTTCAAGTGGCTACTCCCAAAGATATAATAATCTAACAGGCAACACGTACATCTGAAAAACTAAACTGGCTACTCTATGTGCCCAAGAAAACGACTGTTTCCTACCTTCCAAAGTTGTCTGAATGCACTGCCACTTCACCCTACCCACTCCCCGCAAAGATCCCTGGAACTGGAGGACTACCGAGTGCCAGGGCTTCCTCCCTACCACCACACCTGAGCTCCTCTCAGGCCTGACACTGCGCAGCGCAAACCACCATCCGCAGAACGGCTCCTCCGTCAGCCAGAATCAGACTTCCGACAGGTGGTCGCATTACTCAGACTACTTCACTTTTCAGTAAATATTTTAGAAAAATAACTATCTGTTTTGGGGGAAGAAGACAGTTTCCCTGCTATATTGAGTAAAATATTCTAAGTACACCGTAGTGAATAAAATATTCTAGGTACACAGGGTTGAGCCACGCCTGCAGAACTGGAACAGCACTGGCAAAAAAATGAGAGAAGCCAAATTAGGAAGCTGAAGATGAAGGTAGCCTGGTGAGTCATAATGTCTAGAGCAGCGGTTCTCAGCCTGTGGGTCTCAACCCCTTTGGGGGCCCGAACAATCCTTTCACCGGGGTCGCTGGTTTCAAAACAGCAGCAAAATTACAGTTGTGAAGTAGCAACGAAAATAACTGTTTATTTTTTTAGAGGGGGGGATGTTACCACCACATGAGGGACTGCATTAAAAGGTCGCGACACAGGGAAGGTTGAGAACCACTGGTCTAGACAGTCTTTCACCCACTGATCCTGACAGCCATCCTCCAGGCAGGCCACAGTCTGAAAGAGAGGAAGATGGGAAGACACAGACAACATCTGGATAGGGCTGCTAGAAAGTTCCAGGAGGGAAACGAAGAAGGTAGGGCATAAAGGGACGGCATGGACTGTGAGTCACTAAGGCCGAGTGCTGTAACTCCAAAGCAAATACAGTGCTACGAGTGGTACTGCAACTCATGGCGCCCCTAGAGCAGGGAGAAGCAGGGCCCCTCTGGGCTTCTGAGACGGAAGTCTGTGCGGGCTTAGAAAGCCCTTTCATCTTTCTGTCTGAGCGGCTGGGGGTTTCCAACCACTGACCCCCTGCTATGGGAGTACAAAGCTTCATCGCTTTGCCGTGGAGCAGCTGATAAGTTCAAATCGTTGACTCAGCTGTTAGCAGCAAACATCTAACTCACTATGCCACCAGAGCGCGCTCCCCAGGCCAAGTGTCATAGGTAAATAAGAGAACACAACTAGCAATTTTACCAGAATCCTTCCATTGCTGTACTTGAAAAGTAACAGAGGGAAGGAACTCTTTTCTGTCAAACACTTCGAGCTAAAGTAGAAACAAGTTCATTCTTGATTTGCTGTGACCCTTTGGCCTCTTCTTGGAGGCCTGTCAGAACCTCTCCTACATGGTTTCCAAGGTTCCCAAAGCGTGCAATTTGGTTGGCACAGAACACAACCCAAATAGTGATCATCTTTAGACCCCTCCCGAGAGCTGCTTGTACATGCTGAAAGTGGCTTCTGCCTATTTGTGTTTAAAAACAGGATGCTACAAATTCGGTTATTTGACAGTAATAAGAGAAACTCTGGTCCATACAGAAATAGATTGCTGTTCTTCTTTTTAATTTACACAGTGTTGATACAACCCAAAGGAGGGAAGGAAAATAAGGAGTCCTATTAGACTCTTTTTGCAGAACGGGAAAGACTGAAAATATCACTGGCATCAAGCATCTTAGTAGCTGATTTATAAAAGCCAGAAATGGCTACGAACTCAAACGTCTACCAAGAGACTGAAAAGACCAAGTGTGGCATGCACACACAAAGGGGGGGGGGACGGACGCTGATGCAGGTTAAAAAAGAAAAATGGAATTAAAAATAAATAAGAGGATAAAACTCAAAATAACTGACAAGTGAGAGAAGCCTCTCAGAAACCCCCAAAAGTCTCTCCTGTATTATCTTATTAATATAAAACTTTGAGGGAAACAGGTATTTTTACCTGCTTGACTACAGTGGGTTCATGGCGATAAGTCAACTGTGTACTAGAGAATGTACCTTTTAAGTATGAGCGCTTTTCTATATGTCAGTGCTATAATAAGTCAAAGTTTTTGAGTTTAAAAAAAATAGCTAAACTCAGCTGCTGAACCAAGTGAGAGTCTGGAATAGGGGCCAGAGAAAGAGGAGAAAGGTTGGCAGCAGGTTCTGGCTGCTCGTGATCTGTTCCTTCTGATTAACTTGCTCCACCCAACAATGGTTACTACTCACAGAGCTAACAGTACCAGGCAAGGAATGACTACCTGGAATATGCAATATTCCTAGATTAGTGCTGCGCAAACAGCAGAATCTTCATCAGCATGATTCTATAAGGGGACTGGACAAAAAGGCAATGCTCTTGGTCAGCATGGTGAGTAGGTCAGTCATGCACACCGAGAACCATCACTGTAGCCCAAGAACGGAAGGTGGCAGGCAGGTTCCCAAAATATACTTCTCATTTGCCTATTAGAAGATAAGCTTTGGAAAGCAAGAAATTAGGTTAAGGAAAATTTTTAAATGACACATTTAGAAATATATTGGTGGGGCCACTGCTTTCTGATTTGACTGGAACAACATCTGTGGAAACAGTTGTCTGAAATCCTCAAGCTAAAGGCTCCAGGCTCTTGACATCACTACACCTGTCCTCCCTGCAGTGAACACTACCCAAATTAACTCCCACCTGATCAAAATGCTTTCAAAATATCATAAAAAACAATGTTTCCTCCTTCAAGTTAAACTATAAAGCACTTTTTTGAAGGTATGTATTGGGGGTGGGGGGCATTCAAACAAACAGAGGCTATTAAAACACCAAAAGGATTAGAAAGTGATTTATGCTATAGCAAAACAACAGTCACTGATTTCTAAAAACTAAGCTAAGCTTACACTGGGCATTTGCTGTATTTTGTTTTTGTTTTAAGAGTGCTAGCACTTGATGGCAAAGTAAATTAAGAATATCACATGTAAGAGTTTGTTTTCTTTTTGTTGTCTAAAATCATCTTATCACACAAACACAAGAAAAGTCCCGAGAGCTCCAGTCCACTGGAGTGGCAAATTCTACCCACTGCCATCGAGTTGATTCCAGCTGATAGCGACCCTGGGGAGGAGGGTAAAACCGCCCCCTTGAGTTTCTTTAAGAAAATAGAAAGCCTCATCTGTCTTCCTCGAAGGAGTGGGTGGTTTCAAACTGCTGACCCTGCAGCCCAATGCATAACCTGCTTGCTGCTCCATCAGGGCTTCTGGATGAATCCAAGTGAATTAAAAAATTCTTGGCATGTACATATATCAGACTAAGGGCAATCTTACATATACTCGCTTAGTACTAAAAAATAATAAGTTTAAAACATTTTCCTCAGTAAGGTGCCCTGGTGACGCTACCAGGTAAATAAATGCTGGACCGCTAAACCCCAAAGTCAGAGATTCAAATCTGCTAGTCGCGGCTCAGGGAACAGGAGACTATTTGCGCTGGTCAAGATTTACAGCCTCAGAAACCCCACACCAGGGTCACTGTTGGTGGGTTTTTGTTTTTGTCTTGATCTTCCTTATGAAGACAGTAATGGGCGTAGTGAAATTAAATTTCTTAATGTGGCTCTTCATCGAAGTGTCTGTAACTCCCACCATAAGAATGGGTAATACTGCAAGTAAGGTGTGGGAAGCACCCTCGGAAGCAGGAAGAGAGAATCCTCAGACCGACCATCCAGGAAAAGGAGCGCGTTCAAGATCTCCCGCGCCTGCTCCTGGATCCCTCCCTAAGGTCATGCCACAACAAGACCTTTGGCAAGAAGACCCAGAGACAGAGCAAAGGAGCAGTGCTGAGGCGCGAAGACTGTGAAGGCAGAGTAAGAAGTAGGCTTCCTGGCCCGTGGGGACCAGATGCCAAGAGACCAAGTGGCTAGGAAGTTGAGGACCAGAGAAAGACTTGGCTGCTGGCTGAAGAGAGGCACTGCTGTGGATAAAGAATGATACATCCTTGATGTTTTCTGACCCTGGTGTGTGGTAACCTTGTTAATCCCCATAATTGTGAGTATTGTCTATGAGTTCTCTGGGGCCAGTGCAGGGAATTATCAGAACCAGCAGAAAAGGCGGGTGTTGTGGGAGGAACAGCTGGTATCAGAATAGATAAAGAAAGCTGGAGGGCGGAGGCACGTCTGACTTCTGCCTTGTGGCGACTGGCCTTGGACTGCTGTGGAGATGAATTCTTTCTCCCTTGTGTAGCTCAAGGAGGTCAGATGCAGTCCACTTGCTGTTTCTTCCGTGCATCACAGCACGTAAGCATTTTTAAGCAAGAAGCCCTTGCCCATGCAAACACTCCAGCGATACCGAGGCCTGTGAGATATTAAAAGTAGCCATAATGCTTTGCCCTAGATCTAAAATAAGGGAAAACCTCAAGAGTAAATTTTAATACGTACCCACACGTGGTAAGCCTCTCCAATTGCACAGTGCTTGAGAGGTTCAGAAAC